GAGCCAAAGAATTCGTTTTGGCATCGTTGGATAGAGAATTGAACCCTGCATCCGCCCTTGTCTTTGCGGTAGTTTCGGATCATTAGGACTGATCAATCAAGCATTTCTCTGTTGCAAACAAAGAATAATTTCGAGCTTTTGGGTCCCTGGCAATTATAGCGCAAACAGCTGAAAAATCTGAACCCGAACCAATTTGAGATTCATTGGATTCCCAACACATGCTAAAACTATTGTTCGTCCCAAATTACGGAAACATATTCCGACCTAAATCGCAGCACACCGCTGACCCAGATTTTAGCATAATAACATCGCCCCAAAGGTGAACCATTCTGGTGCCGAAAGTGAACTATATTTTTTTAAAATTTAGTTGAATAACAGCGTCCAAAATGCTTAATGTCAAGTACCTAGACCTGATTTTATTTTTAGTTTGTACGTTGGAAATAGCGGCGATTCACTCCCACGATGCCTTGAGTAAGAACAAAAGTATTCTGATCCGCAAACATCTGAAGAGGTTGAAGAAGGTCGATGGTGGCGTTCGGTTGGTTGGAGGACGCGATGAATACGAAGGTAATTTAGAAACTAGGGAAATTGGGGCTGTTTTATCAGTGTTCCGGTAGGGAACGTGGAAATTCTATACCAAGGCAAATGGGGCGCAGTGTGCGACGATGAGTGGGACTTGAAGGAAAGTCTGGTGGTTTGCAAGCAACTGGGGTACTTTAGTGGCGCAGTCAAACCAACCAGCAACAGCTACTTCGGAATCTCCAAAAGTAAGCCCAGGAAAATCATATCAAACTCCTTCAAACACTTAATAAACCAGGGAAGTTCTGGATGGACGATGTTTTCTGCGACGGCACTGAAGAGGAACTTGCCGATTGCCGGTTTGATGGCTGGGGGAAAAATGACTGCAAAGACTCTGAGGCTGCCGGCGTCATCTGCCTGGACCCAGCCCAAACCTCCTCAATTCCAAATGAGGCTAAGGCGGACACCAAGAGGTAGTGGACTGGGCCTGGGTAACTCAGTGATTTTTTAGGAGTTGGCGCAGTGCTGCGCAAATGGATTGGTGCGCCAACCCAACGCACTGGCGCAGTTTTTCAGTTCCATTGTTGGGAAATAGTTGACCACTTTTGTAAAATTTATTATAAAGGCCATTTATTAATAACATTTTTAAAAGTCTTCAAAATTCAGAACTTTCCAGTTTTAGCCAAGTAAAAATGATGACAACCTTAAGATATTTTCCGCGAAAAATTATTAAATGAATTTCGAATCTTTCGTCGCTTTCTAAAAAGTTTTGAAATCCCTTTCCAGTTTCGAATTTGGAACAAAAATCAAACAATTTTTTTCAAAAAACGAACAGAATAAGCGAAAGTTTTTAACAGATTATTTGTAAATCTTGTCACCTCCATTCCTCTGAAGACTGGAGAATTTGTTAAAAAAATGTGGTTTTTTAGTTTTGACTGGATTTCTTTGCTTTACTTTCTACTCAAAAACGCTCTATTTTGTAGAGTTTCACTTAAAAATACTGACGATCTACAGGGCTTTTTCGCGAAAAACTACAAGACAAATTTATAGGTTTGTAAAAAATTTACAAAAACTGCTTTCAGTGTCGAATTCGGGACAAAAACTAAAACAAATTCTCACCATTTTTTCCCGAAAACCATTAAGGTTTTCTCCAAACCCGATCACAAAACTAAAAGTTTTTAATCGAAAACGCAAAATGCATTATTTTTTGGTGATTTTTTTTTTTACAATAATAGAGTGTTTCCAGTCAAAAATTCCAAAATTAATTTTGCTATAAAATTAGCCCCATTGATCGGCTTGCAGGAAAATTTAGAAAAGCCTTTTCAGCTTCGAATTTGGCAGAAATACCAAATAATTTGATTCAGTTTTTTACCGAAACCACTTAGGACTATCTTGAAAAAACGACCAAAGCCAAAGTTTTCAAAAAGTTATTGGGGAAATTCGCCGCCCTCATCGCTCTGAAGATTTCTAAAGTTTCTTTAAATTTTCCAGTTATTCCAGTTTCAACAAAGTTTTTATTAAGCAATTCTTTCTACGCAAAAATCGCATTATTTTTTAGTTAAAATACTGACGCTTCAGGTATTTTCTGCGAAAAATTATAAGATACATTTTAGTAGAACACTCGCCTCTTTAACCGCTTTGCAAAAATGTTTGGAACACTTTTTACAGCTCCAAATTATGGACAAAACCCTCTAGGTCTTTTTCCAAAAATATTTCCCCGAACTGAAAAAGCGAAAGTTTATAACCATTTATGTGGAAAACTCTTGGAAACTGGAGTTTCTTCACTTTTAGGTCAATATTTCGAAACAACACTGTCTCTAAACAGAAAAACTGAGTTTTCCTAACGTTTTACTGTAAAATACTGACAAACTGAATCTTCTATGCAAAAAAATTAAGGTTTTCTTGTAAAATCGATTTTACAAGAAAACTCGTCGACTTTCTTTGGACTCAGTTCTGTTGCAGGGAAAATCTTCATGACTTCTTTTAGTTGCTCGGACTAAGTAGTAAAACGTTTCTCAGAAAAAATGTTAATAACCCTGTTTTAGATGCAAAAATTCCAGTCGCGGGTCCGGCAAAGCTTTAACAAATGAATTATAACTCATTAACCGATGAATTATAACTCGTTAACTCAGAAAGCGCAACTCAACAGTGTTACCCAGGCCTATAGTGGACTTTAGTGCTACTCCAACCAAACGACTGCCAATTAATTTGCAGACTTTCCATCGGCGCTACAAGAAAAATCCGACTGAGAGGAGGCAGAGTGGCCACTGAAGGAAGAGTCGAGGTCCAGACCAAGGGGGGCCGATGGGATGTTATTTGCGCCGAAGGCTGGTCTCTACGTGAAGCCCTAGTCGTTTGCAAAACCCTTTCCCTAGGCAAGTTATTCAATGTTTATTCCGAGAAAATGATACAGTTTAGTGGGGATATTCTAGGATATGCTGCCGATGCTATCCAGACAAAGTTCTTCGGGGGCAAACTATCAAAAACCAGTCTAGCAGGAGTGCGGTGCTTCAGCAATGAAACCTCTTTCGCTACCTGCACTTATCAAGTCTCCCTAACCGGAAAATGCAGCGAAGAAGAAGTGGCCGCAGTTTCCTGCACACAATCGCTCTCCGACTTAGTTATCGGTCAGTTTTGCTTAAATCCTCACTGTTCCAGTCAGTTTTATATCAACTCTGCAGACCACGAGGAATTGACCAGATCGGCCTATCTTCAGGACCAGACGATGTTCTTCCTGCAGTGCGCCATGGAGGAAAATTGCGCCGCTTCTTCCGCCTACCAGATCCAGAAGGAGAATGAGGCGTGGCACTTGGAAACGAGGCGGTTGCTGCGATTTACTGCCCGCATTTTGAACGCTGGCACTGCGGATTTTCGGCCTCTGATTCCCAAGCATTTGTGGGAGTGGCATATGTGCCATATGTAAGTTTTCAGCCAATGGGAAACATGCAAAGGAATAAAATTCCTTAAAGGTGCTACATTTTGAACTTTGCACGCCAATAAGAAGGGGTCTGTGGAGCTTGCTAAAAAACTTGCTTTAAGAAAGGGAATCAAACAAGTGGTTTTTCTGTGGAACTTCACACAAAAACTACTTAAAAACACAAAAACAGAATAAAATATAAATAGGAACAGTTGAACGTTCTACAAATAAAAAATCTAAATAGGTATATTCTGAGCTCTTAAACAATTAAAAGCAGTTATAAGTTACATACAAAAAATCAAAAGGTTGCTTTGAATATAAACGAATTCGCATTTCCTCTAAGTATAAGATATAAGAATTGACCCAAACAACCCTGTGTAATTGCGTGACTATTCAGTCAAAAGTTCATATGTAAAAATGGGAGTTTTAAATAAAAATTTGGGGCTGTTTCAGGCATTATCACAGCATGGAAGTGTTTGCCACCTTTGATATATTCGATGCGAAAGGAGCTCGAGTGGCTGAAGGGCACAAAGCCTCATTCTGCCTGGAAGATAACCAGTGCCTTCCAGGAGTGGAGCCGAAATATGCTTGCGCAAACTACGGCGACCAAGGAATCACCGTAAACTGTTCGGATATTTACAAACACACTGTGGATTGCCAATGGGTCGATATATCCGATCTTGATCCAGGCAATTACAAGATCAAAATAGCCGTTAATCCAGAATGCAAGATTGCCGAGATGGATTATCGGAATAATGCGGCGCTTTGTGACTTTATTTACACGCCGGCTTTTGGAACTGTTACCAATTGCGCCTTGGAACTTCCATAGCATGTAGAACTATTGGTGGGCGATATTCAGTTTTTTTAGAAAAATGGGTTAAGGAAAACACAATTTAACTAACTAAACTTGTTTTATTCCAACACGTGAATAACAAAAATAAAATCTGGTAGAAAACACAAACAAAACACATCGATAAATTACACGCATTAATATGGTGATTTACATGATTTAAGTACGTCTATATTAACATTATTTGTCAGTTAAGTATACCACGGAGATGCATGCATGGTTAAACACGGGAACACATTTATATTAGTGGATTTCTTCCAGATACAGTCGCAATTCCTAAGTATTATCAGCATTAAAGTAAATACTCGTTAAATCAGGTACAAAATTATTTATCTACTTTAAGTTTAAATTAGTCAAATAAATACTTGCGTAAACCTATAAGTTACACACATATTTTAACTGAACTTAACAAACGCTTAAAAAAGGGTCAATCCACTGTTTACAATTATGCTATTATTAAGCGTGGTAATAACACGGAAGATTAATATCGGCTCAAATTACCCTGATTCATCTGGATCTTCTTATTAAATTGATAAACTATTGATATCTCTTACTCGATAAACCCTGTAATGTGCAAATTGCTCTAGACGGAAGATTCTTTCATAATCTTCATGGGATGCACAATATTTTGAATGCAAATATAGTCGCTGGTGGTGCCGATGTCTTTGTCCGAATCCGTTCTAACGCCAGACGCTTGCTCCACTGGTTCTTCGACGATTTTTCCTGGAACATCAACATGCAACTACAGTCCTTTACTAACTAATTGTGGCCGCACTTACCTGAAAATATTTTTAAACTCAAATTTTTCTAAACAATTCTTACAAGCTTTTATCAGTGAAAATTTGGGAAAATTGATCTAAAATACCCAAGGAATACGGTTGAGAAGCAAAAAAGTAGTTTGCAAAAATTACTCAGGCTTTAAAGGACATCTAGTTCAGAACAAGCAGGCACTAACAATGGGGCAAATGCCTCAAATAAAACAACTACTAAATGATAGGTCTATATTTGAAATAAAAATTAAGTCTGTTTGGCGAACCAAGAAAGGCGATTAGCTGCTACGACTAATTGTAATCCTCAGTCTTAATATGTTTAAGTCTATTATAGGTAAGTAGGATATATTATAAGTACTTAAAACTACACAATATGACCCCAAGGAAAGTATGCAAAGTTTCTTACACTGAGCCGCTATTGAAAATTCGAAATCCTGCGATTTTTTCGATATTTACTTGAAATTTGGACCGTAATCAACTAGATTAATGACGCCTTGGGTAAAACCCCCTATTTTAATTCTGATAAGCAGAAAAAAAGACGCCAGACAAGAATGCTTCTATATTGAGCAAATAATGATTTAGTGGTGCACTACAAAAAAAGACGGCGGTAAAAGGGGAATTGGCCGGTAAAAAGTACCACCCTGTACATTTTCGCAAGCGATTGACCACACTGAACGGTGTCAACCTTCCAATGTAAACCCCGTAAAAATTTAAGGAAAATATCTGGCCGAAAAAAATTAGATCTTGTTTCAGGACCATCACTTCTTTTCAGGTCTTGTTGGTTTAAAAGTCTTGAACACAAATGTTCCAAGAATTAGTCGCCAAACAGCAGTTGATTCAAGTTATTAACTAACTTTGCGTTATTTCCCCAGTCACACTAAATATGAATCCTCTAGCGATAAACAATCAACTTTAATAACACGTTAGATAAATTAATGAAATATTCGGTTCAATAGCTCACCGCCTTTCTCAAGCCGGCCCCAAATTGCCTACGCTACAGGTAATTACAGGAAAACAACAATACAAATACGCACACTTGCACAGATTGGCCGAAAAGCCGATCAATTTCCGGGAACGGTTTGATCGTTTTGGGGCCAAACCGTTGAGACAAACAGCAAAACTAAGTACAAATCATGCAACTGAGCAACATTTCAAGTACATTCTTCTACCTTTCTTTTTGCCTCGATTTGAGATTCTATCGCTACTCTTCAGCTGAGCTTTACTACAATTACTTTTACTCTCTTCCGAACTACGTCTACTACTCGCCTCTACCATGCCGCTCAACTGTCGCAGCTCATCATCGACATACGCTCGACTAATCAAAGGAAATTCTTTGGTTGAAATTATATTCTCTAATTTACTTTTCAGCTCCGTCGCTAACAGCGAGCTTCTTCGGCTGTCCTCTCGAGTTTCATCCTCTTCGGGCAGCGGCGTTCGAGAATTCGAACTCTCAGGCGTATACGGTTCGAGCGTTAGCATGCCTTTGTTTGCTCGATCATGCAGCAATGAGGAATCAATGGATACGTCCGTTGATGAGCGATTTACATTGCTGTTAATGTAGTCGCTCATATCCACCACGTTTATTGTGTAGGAAGCAAAATTGCGGCAACAGCGACACGTGTCAGGCAAGCAAACGAACAAGGCATGGTCACAACACTTAACTATACCTGCGTAAGTCCGAAGGGATACTCGGAGGAATACTGGCTGGAATAAAAAAAATTCTAAGCCCTTTAGAGATGCAAAAGTTGAGTGCCTCAGAACTCAAAGCCGGTATTTGTGCAGTTTCACTTGCCTTGTGGTCTCCCATGCAAGTATTCAGTCCTAATAAGTCATAGTCGTGACTTTGCATCTCGTCGATGATTTTTTGAGCAGAATGGCTGAACAGAACTCTGTCGCACCATGCAGGGCAACGTGTTGGCATGTAATTGGCTCCTTTTGCAATGGTCTCCTCAAAAGGATACGAGGGGGCAAACGTAATGGGATACTCAGTCAGGATGTTCGCGAAAGCCTCCGATTCCTTATCAAACTTTTTCAGCTGCAAAGAAATTCAGGGTAATTTTTGCTTTGCAACGTCCCCAATTTGCATACTTGCCCAGTCATAATTCAAAAAAACCCTGGCATGGTCAGAATGGTTGAACTCCTTCTTCCCCACAGTCAAAATCAGGTCGTCATCCTCACTGTTATAATGAATTTTCGTTTGATCATTGTTTTTAATGTTTTGTACCCTGGTTTTGGTCAAGCCGCTGGTCAGTTGCTTCAAAAAAAGCCTGGATAAAACCTGGTGGAAGTAAAAAGCAACAACCTACTTTGATAACTCCTTCGTTATCAGTTCGAAAGTTAAAATCCCCAAATACAAAGTACGGTACATTTTCCAAGCCATCGTTATGAAACCGGTACAGTGTATGTTCCAGTGCTCTTTGCCGATTCCTGCAGTAAACTGAAGGATACGAGGACATAGAGACCAGATTTGAGGCGTCATGAAACAAGTGCAAGTTGACTAAATCGAACACTGTGCCGCACAACAACCATCTGGTTCGCATGAAACCTTTCCGGGACCATTTGCACTGAAACGGGATTTTTACGAATAAAATAAACACAAATCCCAACAGATGCAAACCTCTGGGAAAAAGTGCTGCGGAAATTTCGCCTTCTCTATGGTATCAACGGCTTCTATATTGCCTGAGAATGTTTGCGTATCCTCAACGGCAATAAACTCGGCCTTTTTAAAGTCCCAAATCAAAACCTCTTTTATCGAGTTGTGAATAAAATACAGATTTCCCAATGCCTAAAGAGGGGATGTTAATGAATTGCTGATTGTTTTGCGGTTAGTCAGATCTGAATTACTGTGAAGTTTTCCACCGAAGTATAATCCTCGTCCAAGTATATCCGCACTTTATTAAATTGCTGCAATTCGCTGCTGGAGCAGAGATGGTCCACGAATCTCTTCACATGTTTCATGGAGTTTTCATAGTTCTTACCACCCACTTCTTGGCAATGTAAGGCAATAAATTTGCTATCCAAATTGGCTATTTTAGACAAGAATTCCTCAGTCCATAGTTTAAGCATTTCATTCGGCTACAAATACTTTCATCAATGTCTATTTACTTGTTGAACAGTCCACCAAACAATACATTTCTTCTAGAATTTAAGCAGATTAACTAGAACATCTTACACAAGGCATCTCCTGGCCTCGATCTACGCCTGAAACACCCTGTATAATTGCGATGATTGCATTCCTCAAACATTTTTCATATGAACATATCAGGCAAAAAATGTAAATTTTTCCTGGATTGACGACACTTTCTCATAGAAACGTGCCAAATTTAAAAGTTGTGATTCATCAAAATGCTAACGGGGTCCAAAGGTGGCAAAATTTGAATTAAAAATCAACCATCGTATTTAAATTAATTAAGCTAATGATAAAGTCGAAATCCAACCGGCGGTTTATAGATAAACAATTTTTTGCACCACCTGGTTTAATGACTCTTATAGTGCAGTAAACAAATTCATTTTCCCAAATAGAAAATGTGAAAATCATGCGACTTTTGATGTCCACTTTAAATAATGTCCACAGCGCTTGTTTATTTGATTAGAAATGAACCGATGCGTTTGGCCAACAATTTTTTTGAGGCCGATAAACAATTTATTTTCGAACATTTTTCAAGAATTCTACTCTTTTTAATAGTAATGAAAAAACATCCTTATTTTGTATTTATTTTGTTTGGACTCAGCCCAACAAATGTCCACAACAGTAAGAAAAAATCCAATAATATACTCACATAATGAACCTTCAAAGCAAAGTTTTTTCGTTCTGCAGACAATATTTTTTTAAAAAATGAACACTCCGTATACAATGCCGTAAAACTAAAGCAGTTACGATAAATGAGCCATTTCCCCAAAAATAAATGCATGCATTTGGGGTCAATTAGACTAAATCAAACAAAAAATCCAACTATCTGTGATTGAAATGAATAATCTAAACATTTGGAATTACTTCAATAACAGACCTAATGAATTACTTTGAACTTTCCTTGTGGAAAATTGCGCTGTATTGGTCGGTTTAACAGTTTTTTCGCAATATTTGTACAGTAATTTACAATTTTCCCTATTAATTTAGTGACTTCATAATTCCTTAACAAATAAGTTGGTGTCTAAAAATATGGCATTCAAAGGCTACACCACTGTAGGTAGTATATGAAATAAATCAATAATATCGATAATAATCAGACATTTAGGTAGTGTGGCTGTCCTTTTTATTGATTTACAATCATTGAGCTAATCCTGAGCGAAAAGACACAGATGCAGGAACAATAGGAGTGTAATGAGCAGGATTTAAAAAGTAAACAAGTTGGACTTTGGCGTCAGAATTTGTTTATTTGTGGTCTGCACCTAAACAGTGGAACAGGCAGATCAAAGAGGCCCCTTTACGAAGCATCTGATGCACATGACCCTTTAAAGGTATTGATTGCTAGCCTGTTGAACTAGGTCAACTATAACACTAGATTTCCGCACTTACCTCCTCAAATATTGAACCAACATTGGCTGTAACCAGCAGAATTGATACAGAATTCATTTTCGACTAATTTCAAGGATCACAGCACGTTCAATGAACACTATCACCATCTGCTGTGTAAGATCTTTCCTGGAATTGAAAAAGAACTTGAGCACATAAAATTCTAATAAAACCACAAATTAGGAAATTGGCTGGATTTTCCTGACGGGGGTTACTCACCAAGTGATGGGGCATTTTTGGTTCTAGAGGGTGTGAAACATGCCGTCGCACTACAGGGCTTCGCCCCACAACACTCTTATATTGACAAACACTTGTAAAGGGTGCAAACTGCCCCTAAAATCCAGACGAGTCAAAATATCGACTGTCTAACCGCCCACTTGAGGGAACTGGAACGGCATTATTTATCCGGTGGTTATTGGGAAGGTTTTTTGGAAAATTCGCCCGGAATTCAGAGCCTTCGAAAGTTTACTGGGATTTGTGAGCTCAATTAGGCCTGCTGGGGGATTTAAATCGGTATTTATACATTCCTGATAGGTTTTGGCGTGAAAGCTTGGCAACGTAGGTTGAAAGGCTGTCTCATCAGATGCCATTTTCAATGTAACTTTGAAGCTGCATTTGGTTTCTGTGGGCCAAGCGAGGAGGGTAATTCTTGTATTATTTGTGAAAAATCCTCCTGGTTAGCGATTGCTTTCTTCAAGTTTGAGATTTCTGAAAATCGAGCTAGTCAATATTGCTCGTGATTTTTACCAAATGATTATAATCACGACAATCGGCAATAATGCCGTATCCTCCGTGCTCAGGGGCCGTGTTGTAGACACGCCCTTTGCAGGCTTTTATTTACAAACAATTATCAATTTTGGGGCTCATCTGAATATAGGGGCCTTCGTTTGCTCGAGTCTCCTTACAAATCAATGCATTTAGTTCCACCACATTCGTATTCCACACAACTGATCGTTCCGAAGATATGAATGCACCCAAAACAAACCATGCTGATTGTGTCAGAATGTTAAAGTCTACAATTCCGATATAAACTGAGTGTTTTTGGGGCTCAAGCTTCATTTGAGGATCGCTTTTTAAACTACAACCACGCTGGAACTAATGGAACTGGAAAACATTGTGGCCAACACAGTCTATCTGAAGGCAAGGGAAGGTAAGCCATTGACAACAATCACAGCGTTTCACACCAATGGATCTCATGTGATGTGTTTTCTATTCATTCTCATGTAAATGCAGCTATTTGCTAAACCTTATTGCGCCCAATTGAAGACTAAGTGGCTACTTTGCCTGGAAGCTTGAGCTTTCCTTTCACGATTCATTTGCTTTGCCTGGTGCCCCTTTTGACTTATTCACTTTGCCATTAGTACTGCCGAAAGCTTCTCTACGTTCTGACGACTATTTGCCGTTAACAATAGATATCTGCTTATCTGGAAACTGTAGCAAAACAGGCTTTGTTTAGAAAAAAAACTAGATGTTTAAGATAACAGCGTGTTGAGTAGATAAGAACTTCCTGTTAACATTGCATATAAGCTCTGTATGTACTTTTCATCAAATGCCTGAAATAATTCAATTTGCGATTTAAATAACAGGGTATTTTGAGCAAAATACCAAGTTTTTGTATCTTGTCCCGTTAGTTATTGCGAGTTAGGTCTTCCTCTGCCCTCAGTGTCTTTTTTGAATTCCAAATGGTTTATCACCTGAATGGCAGATTTTATCATAATCTCAAGCGCTCAGCCCTTGTTTAATTTATATCGTAAAAATTTCTTGATTTTTGATGTTTTTGTACACTTTTTCTCTCATTTGAAGGGACTAATTACTAGTTGCCGCTCAAAGAATGGGAATTGTAAATTCCCAATTTCATCATTGTTTTTCGGCTTCAAGGCACTAAGATTTCCATTAAACTCGGCCGGTTTTTCACGATTTTCTCAATCAGCAAAAACAGTGTCAGGGATTTATTTCGCAAAACTTTTTCTTTATTTATCACTGGAAATGCCAAGTTGCTAGATTTTTCCGATTTTGTTGGGTAAAATTTAAAAAAATCAGAGCTTCTGGGTATTTATGTATTGCTCATGGTTTTCCGGATAAATGGCAATTTTTCTCTAAAACTACTGATGTATGAGTTTTCGACTAAGGCGAGGTTTTTATCTAGAGCACAATGGCCTTTCAAATTGCCATTTTTTCTAGTGGCGTAAAAGTTAGAGACAAAACACCCCACTCAACCCCAAATTATTGAACATGAAACAGCTTAAAACGCGAGAAAGTGCTATTAATTTCCCTCAACAAAAATTTCTGTCGCGTAAAGATAAAACCAGAAAATACGTATGCGTGTTGTTATCCCAGTGATCTATTGATCAATATCCGACTGTTTTCGTCCATTTTATTAATGTGTTTGTTTTTCATAACACACTGGAGAATTATTATTTGGGGAAGGAGAAGGGAAAGTCTAGCCAGTTTTTTTAAGTAGAAATTATAATGGAATTCGCTTGAAATGTAAACGTGGCTTTGCCAAAAACACCTTTTATATTTTTAAACCATGAGATTAGAAGGGTTTTTGTTGTCCACAAAAATTGCAAACGGCTGCTGGAAAAGGAAAAACAGACTTGGCTTTAGTTTATAGACCTCACTGTTTCAATTTAAACCTTGTCTACATGATCACTGTGTATATAATAAACAATCAAAATGCTTCGTCGTTTTTTCAGGTGGATCTGATAATAATAAGGGAAAAAGTAAAAAGTGGAAGAAAATCCTGCAATTTCCTCATATATCCCAATGTCTGGAACTAGTTAGTAAAATAGGTGAGCAGCTGAAAAACCTTCTAATCGATGTGAACTTCATTGAATTGACTTTTTCCAGATTTTAAGTATGAATATGTTGTGGAACAACAGCCTATTGGCAAGACGCTGTTCGGCCAGTGGTGTGAGCTGAAAGGTACACAGTATCACTGCTTCTTCTTGCTTCTCGATGTTGAAATCGAGTCGGATGACCAGCGACACGATCTAGTTTCCGTAATTAAGCAAGTACGTACAGCGAACATTGGCTTTGATTGCGACTAATCCTAAAGGGCTTGCAGCAATTCCGTGATCTTCCTCCACAGAAAACCTCAGCCTTATTTCCTGATACTGATAAGCTGTTTCTGGAAGGAGAACAATTGGAAAATGGCCCTGGCAAAGACCTTTTCCACACTTCCATTCAGGCAGTAAGAACGTATCTAGCAGGGGAACCTTTTGAAGAATTCACTAAATCCATGTACTTTCATCGCTACTTGCAATGGAAGTGGCTCGAATCTCAGCCGGTTACGCACAAGACTTTTAGAATGTACCGCGTGTTGGGCAAAGGCGGTTTTGGGGAAGTTTGCGCCTGCCAGGTTTGTACAGCATTTGCCACTAAAGACCGAAATTTGCAAAGTTTTTCTTTGGCTGCAGGTGCGGGCGACTGGCAAAATGTACGCTTGCAAAAAGCTGGAAAAGAAGCGCATAAAAAAGCGCAAAGGTGAAGCCATGGTGCTGATTGAAAAACAGATTCTGGAGAAGATCAACTCACGATTTGTCGTCAATCTTACCTACGCATATGAGACGAAAGACGCTTTGTGTTTGGTGTTAACTATTATGAGCGGGGGCGATTTGAAATTTCACATCTACAATATGGGAGGCGAGCCAGGCCTGGATATTAACCGAACTCGATTCTACGCTGCTGAGGTGGTTTGTGGAGTGGAACACTTGCATAGGCAGGTCAGTTTATTAGCGCCCAATTCGCGATTTTTTCGCCTAACTAATTGATTTTATAGGGGATTGTATACCGAGACTGTAAGCCGGAGAACATTCTGTTGGATGATAATGGTCATGTACGCATTTCAGACCTGGGATTAGCCATCGTCTTGCCAGAAGGAGAGTCGGTGCGCGGTAGAGTTGGCACTGTAGGCTATATGGGTAAACAGCTAGCTTAGTTTAGCGCTTCCGCTTTACTTCTACAGGCCATTTCTGCATGACTTTCATCTGTTGCAGCTCCGGAAGTAATCGACAATGAGCGCTACAGTTTCAGTCCTGATTGGTTTAGCTTTGGCTGCTTGGTCTATGAAATGATCGAGGGGCAGGCTCCTTTCAGGGCCCGCAGAGAGAAAGTGAAACGCGAAGAAGTCGACAGGAGAGTGAAAGTGGAGCCAGAAAGGTACATTTGCCTGTTGCCTGGCGTTGCAAATACTCTCTGAGTGGTTTCAAAATGTTGCAGATACTCAAATAAATTCACCGAAGACTCAAAATCATTTTGCCAACAATTGCTTACCAAAAACGCCACAGATCGACTGGGCGGTAAAGCGGATCGCCACGGCGCTTTGCAGGTCAAACAACACGCATTTTTCCAGACCATCAACTGGAGACGGCTGGAGGCAGGAATCATTGATCCACCCTTTGTGCCAGATGTACGATGTGGTTCTACTTAGAGTTGATTTCGATGTTAATTTCCTAATTTGCAGCCTCATGCGGTTTACGCGAAGGACGTCCTTGATATAGAGCAGTTTTCCACGGTGAAAGGTGTTAATATTGACGAGAGTGATTCGTCGTTCTACTCGAAATTCAACACGGGGTGCGTCTCAATCCCGTGGCAAACAGAGATTATTGAGACAGATTGTTACCGCCAATTGAATGTGTTTGGACCCAACAATACCAGATCTCCAGATCTGGTTCTCGAACCGGCACCTCAAGCTAAGAGCGGCGATTGTTTCCCATTCCGGCGGAAGGTAAGAAGTCTCTTTAATTCGTTCTCTTCATTTTAAGACCTGGAAGGTTTGAAGAGATTTTGAAGAAAATATTCTGGTAATGCGTTGGGAAGTCAGGCTTTATTTCAGTATAAGAAGCCATAGAGCTTTCCAGGCCAAGTACTTTTTTAGGGGCGTTTTTAGCGAAAATGCGGTTTGATCACTTTTCACTCATTGAACATCACAATTTTTTGATTGTTTTTCAAACTGTTACGGCAATTCTGAAAATTTCGCGCTTTTGCCAGTGTTTGCTATTTCGCAAATTTAAAAATTTTGTGGGGGTTGGACAAGTTTGAGTTATTTTTTTAAGTTTTCAGTATTGTTACTTTGCTCGACATTTGGCAACTATAAGAAAGTATCGATGTTTGGCCATGCAGTTTGTTTCTTTTTATCTTGATTATCTTATGGAAAAGTTGCGAATTTCTATGAGCAAAAAGTGCTCGAAACCTGTCCCGATGTCCTAAAGCATTACCAATATTCTAATTATTTCCACAGTTATGGCTGGAAACAGCAAATTTTACATGAAATGTTTAAAACTGTTTCAGAAAAAGCAAATTCCTCGAAATCAGCCAGTACCTATCAATTCGTCATTACTATCCTCAGTGTCATAGACTTTCTTTTCTCATGATTGTGTAATCATAGTGCTTTTAATTTGTGTAGTTCCTTTGTTCATCATTGTCTTTCTATCTAAGCCACCAATAAATTTGTACATAAAAACGTGCATATTTTGTTATTAATATGATTTCCTATACTATTCATGCACATTTACTAGAATTTCTTTTGAATATAAAACTAACTAAATAAATAAGTTAGTTTTATATTCAAACGGAATTTCAACTGCAATGTTTCAAGAGTTGAAACGACAAAACCACGAGTGTGAGAAGGATGCACTACCATTTTAGGGCATTGCGCTTTGTCTTTGCTGCATATACATGGGAAGAAGAGCGCGGTTCAAACCTAGTTATTTACTGCCACTCTAACCTAAACGTCACAGTGACACAGAGAATTGTTATTCGTCTTGGCAAAATTTATTTAAGTAACTTTGCCGTTTCCCCGCGAAGCTTGAACATATTAATAGTGGGAAATTCATACTCAAAATGTACCTGAACAGCAATTACTTGACACATTTGCTGTTCTTATTGCTCCTGAAATTGGTAAAAGCAGAATGGAACACCAAAGATTATCTAAAAAGGGAGCACAGCCTTGTTAAGCCCTATCATGGTAAGCGATTTATTGCGTTTGCTTATGTGCAAATGAGCTATTTTTATACTTGACTTTTCAAATAACTCTGGCCTTCATTAGCTTAAGGTGACACCACAATGAGTTTCAATTGAATACACTTTACCTTTGTCTTGCCCCCAGCTCTAATTGGCTTAGTACACCGCCAAATAAAATACCTTCATAACCACCCCTTCGTTAATATGTAGCTTATCTGCATAGTACCATTGTCACCATTGTATTGCAAGTCAGTTTTACTCTTGCCAGACGACATGGCGAAAGCGCGTGAAACTCCAGTAATTTGAACTTAATAACAGTCTGTTATTTTTTTGCAGGCACTGGCATGCAGATTCCAAACTGGCAATACACAGGAAGTACAATTATAACTCCAAACCACATTCGGTTAACTGCAGATATGCAAAGCAAACAAGGAGCCATTTGGAATACAGTTGTATGTAGATCTATTCAAAAAAACTGCAACCATTTTGCAAGACTATAATGTGTTTCTAGCCCTTAATGATCAGGAACTGGGAAATGCAAGTACAGTTTAAAGTCCATGGAAAGGGCAAAGAGCTGTTTGGTGATGGTTTTGCGATATGGTATACCAAAGATCGTTCGCGCACTGGGCCAGTATTTGGAAGCAGTGATCTCTTTCATGGAATGGCCATAATCTTGGATACGTACAGTAACCACAATGGGCCTCATAATGTAAGGAAAATGCCCTTGATACAAGAACGAGTCTAACAGCTTCCTTCTTGCAGCATCAACATCCCTACATTTCTGCCATGGTTAACAATGGAACCATGTCGTATGACCACGATCGGGATGGAACTCACACTCAATTAGCCGGTTGTAATGCCAAATTTAGGAATCTTAATCATGATACTCACCTCTCAATCCGATATGAAAACGACGTTCTTACCGGTAAGTCCTTGTCGCTTTACTTCATTGCTTCAATTGCTGGCTTAAATGTATGCACTCGGGAGAACTGGAATTTTTCTACCGTTTGCCTCAAACGCGAAAATCATCGCGTTTTTTTCAGTGATAACAATTCAGGTTTGTGTTTGTTTGCATTTTTTGCAACCTTCGAAAGTCCCAAGAATTCTGAGAATTTGTTCCTTTCAATCGGTTGGATTACTTGCTTGTTAAGCTGCCTAAAATAGATTGAAATGCTAAATCAAACGCGATTTTCTGCAACTAATCAACAGTGATTGGCCAATGGCAGGCTAAATGAAGAGTCTGTTTCAGTATCTACGGATATTGAAGATAAGAAGGCTTGGAAGGAATGCTTTAAAGTGGAAGGGGTTCAATTGCCTACCGGATATTATCTTGGGGCATCAGCTACCACGGGAGATCTATCAGACAATCACGATTTAATTTCAATGCGATTGTATGAGTTGGATCTACCTGATGATGTAAGTATGGATGAAACCCTGAGAAAATACTATTGACAATCGAACTGAATTGAAGAAAGGATTTAAGTTAGGAAAATGCGCGTGGGGCGATAAAACTGAACAGAAAATGATATTTTTTGGGGTTTCTAGTACCAAAGCAAATTTTGAAGGAGTTTAGATTATATTGTCATTATTGTTATAGCCTCGAGCTCGTGAGGACAGGACTCACATCCTGCCATCCGCGACTTATTTTGAGCCTCCCAGAGACCATGTGGATGATCCCAAACCCTCGTCTCTTTCAGGTGTAAAAATCTTCTTTCTAATGCTACTGGGTAGCGTATTGTTAGTGGCGTGCGTGGTAATTGGTATTATGTTTTATCAGAAACAAAACGAGAAAAATCGCAAGCGATTCTACTAAGTGGATTTTTGGAGTTTTTATCGATGTACATTTTTATAAGACTGTGGGTGTAATATACATCGTCAAAAATTAGTTTTGGGTTTCTAGTTTATATTGACCATTAATTTATTCTGGTTTAAATACGGGTTTTTCATGGAGCATTTCAAGTGGACAGTACACAGTAGGATAAATTAGTTTAATTGGAAAAATCCGTAAGGCTGGGCAAAAATTTGAAGAACCAGAAAAGTGGGGCATTTTCTACCCAAAAAAGCTTTAAAACATGACCAGGATCATTCATTCAATATGGAAATGCAAATCCCATTAGAAGTTGGAATTTTCTTGAATTGTAATACATATATGTAGGAAGTAATGTGTACTGAAAAATTGTCAGAGAGAGCAAACTAAGAAAAGAACTGAAATTTAGTGTTTTTTTTTCTCTATTTCGCCTTTATCTTTCATCCTTTTATATTTCCTGGACGTTATTTTACAAGGTGTTGCGTATCAGCTGTCCTGATCTCGGTATAAGTTGCCAAGAAAAACCGCGAAAATACTGGAGGAAAATACATTCTTTTATTTAAAAAAATAACTTAAGAAAGTGTTGTGCTATGGAATTAATAAAATATAATTTAATATAGCATTTCATATTTCGAGGTAGTATTTCCTTTGGGAGCCATCGAGCGGATTGCGTGTTGTTTTACAATAACGAGTCGCGGCAAATTTAATGAGGTTTTTATGCAGCCATTGACACTCTTTTGTCGAAATAATGACTTTAGGGTTGTCGGTCGTCAGGGGTATTGTTAGCATAATGCTTTTGTTGTGCTTTTGTGTGCAGCATCCCCGTATTCCGTGACAGTTCCAGTTTATATTTTAAATGGCTCGATGTTATTCTGCTTTTAAACGCTATTAGGGCGCATTGTATGCGAACTTCATAGGCCGGTGGCTTGTATTATTTGCCGGCAATTATTCCCAGGCAATTATCCCGACGGGGTTCCAGATTTATGCCCTTTTGGATACCTGGTCGAATCTGCTCGGCTCATTAGAAATAGATCTCGATCTCGAATCGTTATTAAATTTGATTTTTTTGCTATCTATTAGGTTTTCACGGTCATTGCTTAAAACTGCGGAATGTTAAGCCACAAAACGTTAAAACCAAAAAATCACCACTTTCTATTATGGTCAGGTAAAATTTACATTTACCGTTTGCATTTGCTTTACGTACGTGTATCTACAAATTGAAGATCTCAGAAACGGTAGCGTTCATTCATTTGAAGCAACAGTAACTTTTTCACCCAAATAGTGCTATTAGTTCGGTTACAAACGTAAAATCGAAGCAGCCATCCACATTTCGGCTCAAGCATTTTCTTTGAAAAAATCCTTCGCAAAAGCGCTTTTTTGAAAATTCGTCTCAATTCCAGGAAAACGGGGACAGGGGCGGATACAACTTGAAAGTCAGGGGGGGGGGCTATGTAGAAAAAATACAGTCTTCTGTTATCTATGAAATTAGAAAAATTATCGTCGTTTTGTGCAAGGGTGGCCCAAGATTATTGCAAAATTTTATGTTTTCCGTCTCGTTTTGCATGTTTCTCGGAAGCAAAATGAGCAAGAACGCTCGTTTTTACATCATTCCAGAGATAACTAAATAGGCTTTATTCGAAATTTCTCAAGAACCATTCGAGCCACAAAATTCGTTTTGGCATCGTTGGATAGAGAATTGAAAACTCGATTCAGTCGTAACAACGCGAGTGAGGAAATTCGAATAGTTTTGGCCCAGAAAGCG